CCAACAAATTATTAATCATTAATTAATATTTTTGGGACACTTTTCTCAGTCTGATGTGCGAAATATGTTTTTTTTTCAGGTAACAGTCTTCGAGATGACTTTGACTTTATGCACACATTTGATAAAGAGTCTAGAGATTACTACAAAGCAAAGCCAGGAAATATTGTAATGTTTGTACCTGAGAGATTTCAAAGCAAATATGAGGAAAAACGCTACGTCTGGGATAAGGTAAGACTGTTGTGATATAATTGTAGTTCAGGTCATTGACTGAAGTGTAATTTCTGTCATCTGAGGACATTTTCAATCGTATATTCTTGTTTAATATTGGCAAAAATGCATTGTACAATAGATTTGATCAGTGTTAGTCAGACTGTTGACTTTGTGTGAAAAATACCCTAAATACATGTTTCTTGATAAATTATATTAAAATGTGGTAAGCGTGCAAGGTTGGTTGCCCCTAAGATACTAATTTGCTTTTGAATGTAAAATGGTCTTTTCGTTTGACTTTGTTTATGTTCCCATATCCGAAATATTCTGACCAAGCTGCTACAAAGTATGGTGAATTTTCAACATACAGGCTGCTCTCTGATTGGTTAGAATGTTGGGTTTTGGGTGGGTAGCCAACCAAGTACAATCTTGTTAGTAGCTTAGCATAGACTTCAGAAAGGGCAGGTACTCAGGAAGGCAATTGCCACAACAGGCAACACAACCAAATGTTCTTGGATTTGGATGCATATGTTTGCTGTTCTTGTAGGACAACTGCAAATCTGGGTTAGAAGAACAAATTTGAATAAAACAATACCATATTTAGTAGGAAATGGGTCCCAGGCTTTAAATATATGGCTCATTTTACACACAGTCCACTGCAACAACAGAAGAATTGAAGGAATTCTACAAAGAACATCAGACCCCACTAGTTGGAGAGCGAACTACAGATAATCAGGAAAAAAGATACAGCAAGAAACCATTGGTGGTTGTCTATTATACTGTGGACTTCAGTTTTGACCACAGAGTTGGTAAGTGCAGTAAACATATACTGTGTACATGAATTGAGCATCCACACATGTAGCAGCACCTATTAAAGTACCTATCTAAACATGACGCTACTTCCTCTGGCCATCCCTCAAAAAGGCCATCTTATTAAAATTTGATATACACACCAATGTTTATATAAATATATTTTCATAATTATTCTCGTTTGTTTATGACTATTTTTTGGTTTTACTTGCTGTTATTAGTTTTCTTATATATCGTATCCCGGCTGTCTTAACTAGATAATAAACAAAATTAACAAATTAAAGAATACCAAAATACAAATTAAAGCAATTTGATCCTATGTCTACCTCAGATTTTAATCAGATTGTCAAAAAGGATGCTTATTGCACATAGACTGAAATAGATTCACATCAATCCAAAAAATACAGGGAATCTGAAATATTGGGAAAGAATTAGTACAATGCTTTGGTAATCAACTACATGCAAATATAAGAAAATTGTTTTAAAAATGACATTAATATTCATATGTTCATCTGTTTTGATCATTAGCAACACAAATATGGAGAGATAAAATAGTTGAGGTTGCCAAGGACTTTCCAAGTCTCACTTTTGCCATCGCAAATGAGGAAGATTTCGAAAAAGAGCTTCAGGAATTGGAATTAGCTGATAGTGGTGCAGAAATGAATGCTGGCATCTTTGCTGAGGATGGAACAAAATACAAGATGAAGGCAGATGACGATGAATTCGATGAGGAATTCAGAGAGTTTGTTGAGAATTTTGTGGCTGGTAAGTAAACTTCATTGAATCATGTTTCCTAATATTAGCAGGAATAGTTTGTCTTGATAATCAGGATATAAAAGATTAATTATAAATCACCACTATCCAAATTATTTTTTATGATGTTGTAGCTTTACATTATCGCATGATAAATTCATTTCAACAAAAGCCCCCAAATTTGTTTAATTCTTATGATTTATAACAATAATAATGAATCTCCCATATCATCATTTGGAGAAGGGATAATGTGTTCTGCTTGTTCTCTCACATCTTGCTAAGACTCTACTCTTCATCCAATATGGCACTATGATGGAATTCATTATTGTTTGAATAACAGGGCAAGGACTGTCATGTGCAGTTGCAGTCAAATACAGTATTTCAATAACAATACCTGGACCAATTTAATATACGTGCAGTCATAGCATGATAGAATTGACCACTGGTAGTTAGTGCATCATAGATCTTGTATTTCAGTCACACATAGAAAATTTCAATGCGCTCAGAAGTAACTTTCCAGATGGAAATGAACAAATTATGGGGGTTTGGTTAAACAATCTGTAAAAGTATGGGAAAATGATTGGTATTGCTGAGTCGCACACAATCTTGTTTGTATGTTAATACATTGACCACAAGCATGCCCAGTTTGGCAGTTATCTTCAGATTAGATGGCTGCACATGGTACTGATTGATCAGTGTTTAAATAATAGCACTGTATAATAATATACCTTTGATATGGCTTATGTGACCCAAGGTTGTGCCGCAGAAGTGTGCGTAAGCTGTACGACCAAGGTCAGCAAAAACCTTATCCGGTCCATAAAGGTTTTATTTATACACATCTTAAGTGTAATCACAACTATACCATGGTGTGGCCTCAAGCACACAATGTAATTTAGAATGACGTGTTCTGTTTTGAATGATGAAATCCAGGCGTAATACGGGTAACTATTGCCCCGATGTGAGGATGATGTGTTCTGTTTTGAATGATGAAATCCAGGCGTGATACGGGTAACTATTGCCCCGATGTGAGGATGATGTGTTCTGTTTTGAATGATGAAATCCAGGCATGATACGGGTAACTATTGCCCCAATGTGAGGATGTGTTCTGTTTTGAATGATGAAATCCAGGCGTGATACAGGAAACTATTGCCCCGATGTGAGGATGATGTGTCCTGTTTTGAATGATGAAATCCAGGTATTGATACGGGTAACTATTGCCCCGATGTGAGGATGATGTGTTCTGTTTTGAATGATGAAATCCAGGTGTGATACAGGAAACTATTACCCCGATGTGAGGATGATGTGTTCTGTTTTGAATGATGAAATCCAGGCATTGATACGGGTAACTATTGCCCCGATGTGAGAATGACGTGTTCTGTTTTGAATGATGAAATCCAGGCATTGATACGGGTAACTATTGCCCCGATGTGAGAATGATGTGTTCTGTTTTGAATGATGAAATCCAGGTATTGATACGGGTAACTATTGCCCCGATGTGAGAATGATGTTTTCTGTTTTGAATGATGAAATCCAGGCGTGATACAGGAAACTTTTGCCCCGATGTGAGGATGATGTGTTCTGTTTTGAATGATGAAATCCAGGCGTGATACAGGAAACTTTTGCCCCGATGTGAGGACGTGTTCTGTTTTGAATGATGAAATCCAGGCGTGATACAGGAAACTTTTGCCCCGATGTGAGGATGATGTTTTCTGTTTTGAATGATGAAATCCAGGCGTGATACAGGAAACTTTTGCCCCGATGTGAGGATGATGTGTTCTGTTTTGAATGATGAAATCCAGGCGTGATACGGGAAACTATTGCCTCCATGTAAGGGTGCACTATCCATAGCGCTACGAGGCTGGGCAATAAGATGTATATGATAATAATCAGACAATATTTAGTGTTTACATATTCAAATCAAAATTGCCTTATGTGTCTTTTATTTCACACTGTTTAGATAGGGTCTATCAGAGTTACTGTAATTTGTTGATTATGTTTTGCAGTTTGGTAATTGTATCATGGTCATATTCATATTTTTTTTAAGGTAAACTGAAACCAGTAATCAAATCACAACCTGTCCCGAAGAAAAACGATGGACCAGTGACAATAGTGGTCGGCAAGACATTCAACAAGATTGTACTTGATAAGAAGAAAGACGTTTTGATTGAACTATATGCACCATGGTGTGGCCATTGTAAAAATCTAGAACCTATCTACAAAAAGTTGGGTAAAAAATACAAGAAGGAAAAGAATCTGGTTATAGCAAAGATGGATGCCACGGCCAATGATGTGCCTCCAAACTACAGCGCCAGTGGCTTCCCAACGATCTATTTCGCACCAGCAAATTCTAAAGATTCACCGCTTAAATTTGATAATACACGTGACCTGGCTGGGTTCACTTCATTTTTGGAGGAAAAATCCACAGTTTTGAAAAAATCGAGAGTCAAGGAAGAGCTATAACCTGCTGTTCAATAGAATAGCTCATTACTCTTCATTCCTCTTTTGTAGCTTCATTTTATTATTTCCAAGTCTTCATAGTTTTTCATGAGCCATAACACCATATTTGCTTGCACCTTAATAAGTCCCTGATAAAAACATCTTGTGTCCAAATTAATTTTGTTAAAGCGCGGTGGTGGTCACATGTGCGACATTTGTGTTGATAAACATTGATTTACCCACAATCCAATAGGCTCTTCAAATGGAAATCACAAGTATGAGGTTTAACCTGGGTGCGACTTGCACTGATTTACCACTGAATCCTTCGATATCTTCCAATCACCTAAAAATTAGTTAATTAAAGCTTGGGAATGTCGCAACAGTCAAAGTCGCTATCTTTGTTTATATGAGACCCATATATCTTGTGCAGGCGTGGCGCGACAACTACCGCCCTTTAACTTT